TTCCACCTGTTTACGTCCTCTGCTATTTTCTTCCTGAATGTTTCATAGTTCTCCCTGTAGAGGTCTTTTACCTCCTTAGTTAAATATATTCCTAGATACTTTATTTTCTTTGTTGCTATTGTGAAGGGAATTGAGTCTTTGATTTGGTTCTCGGTATGACTGCTATTGGCGTATATGAAAGCTTCTGATTTGTGTGCATTGATTTTATATCCTGAGACTTTATTGAATTCGTCTATCAGTTCCAGGAGCCTCTTGGTCGATCCTGGGATATTTTTAATCGCTTTGAAAAAGTGAACAATGCAAATGGCAAGGAAGTAGAATGAACAAGTCTCTTGGGAAAGCTGACCCCTACCCCGGGGACATCCCCCAGGGGCCCAGGCCTGGGCAGTTGTTCAGGCTCCCTGCTTTGAGCGGGGGTGGCCTGGAGATTGGGGGGACAGCCAGATTTTCCAAGGTCTTCTTGGGCTCCATCTACCCCGTTCCCAGGACCTCACGGCCACACCTCTGCTTTATCCCTTGTGCAGTGGGCCGGAAGCAGTTCATGCGGTTTGAGTGGGCAAACCACGCTGCCGAGGCCCTGGGCTGTGAGTACGAGGAGCTGAACACATCCACCTTCAAGCACCACCTACGGCAGATCATCCAGCAAGTGACGCTTGGGTCGAGCAGACGGGGCCTGGAGGAGGAGGAGACCAGCTCAGGTACCCGACTGCTGCCTCTCTGGGTGGGCTGGGTCCCCTCTGGTCAGCCCCTGGGGACACACTGGCATGCTTTCACTCATTCATCAAGGATTTATTAAGGGCCTACTCTAGGCCGGCCTGTGTTAGATGCAGGGAAAGCCGCTGTGGGTGGAAATGGACGGGGTTCCTACCTGTGCAGTGCTGCTCTTCTACTAGTCACCTCCGTCCAGTGGTCACGGTGACTGCGGAAACTGGGGAGGGAGCCCTGTGCTCTGGAGAGGGGACACTGTGGGCAGGGCCAAGGGACCAATGCATTTCCATTGCATTTCATGTTTGTCGAGCCCCTGCCATGCAGGGGGAAGATGGACCTTTCTGTTGGAGGAGCAGAAATAGGGCCAGGATGCGGGTGTGGGGTGGGAGATGAGGATGGAGTGTGTGCGCGGTGGGGGGCCGGCTCGCCGAAGGACTTGTAAACCAGGATTTTTATTACATCCGTGGGAAGCCATGTGGTGGCTTCAGCAGGACATGACATGATTTGCCTTTAAGATGCTCAGCCTGGATGAAGGTTGGGGAGTTAGTGGGAGAGAGGAGACCTGTTGGGAACCTAGAAAAGTCACCGGGTGATGGGGGATGGTGGGTGACTAGGGAAGAGCTGGTGGAGACGGGGTGAGGTGGGCAGATTCAGGCTCTGGTTTGCAAGTGGAGGTGACAGCAGGGGCCCTAAGGGAAAGTGTGGGATCAGGGTGACTTCTGGGGTTTCATCCTGAGCAGCTGGAGGAATGAGGGTGCTTTGAACCGATATGAGGAAAAGCGGAGGACTCCGTGGTGCACCTACAAAGGGGGGTTCTGCTAAGCCTCAAGTCTGAGGCCTCTGTTGGGTCTCGAGAGCTTTCCAAGAGCCGCCCCCTTGAGACAGCAGAGTGTGGGATTAGCGAGCAGGGCTGTTCGAGCTGCGGTGTTTGGGGACCATCTCTTGGAGCTCCTTTGGATCCTTGGAGCCACCTCCACCTTCCAGGGACTTCGGCCTGATGGCTGACGTCACATGGACTCCATCGGCCTCTATGTCTGTTCCAGTGTGAGCTGTGGTCTGCTTGAAAGTGACTTCTCCTCTTTGACACACACACACACATAGGACACATGTATACACATACTACACACACGCGCACACAGGCATGCACAGCACACTACATGCACGTGCACGTAGCACACATGCGTACAAACACACACCACACACAATCACACACTGTACGTGCACAGATACGTGCATAGACACAAACACCACACACACATGCAAGAACCTGCACCCCACGCATGGGCGCACACGTGCACTCGCCGCTTCGTGAGTCTGAGTTAACCTCGCAGTCTGAGGTCTCGAGGGTAGGCATTCAGCAGGCAGGGGACCTTCGGGCTTTGGAGAGGTGCTGGGAGGTTGCGGGTTGCCTAGCAACGGGACAGAGCGGGGGCGGAGTTAAAGGTGAGAAGGGAAATGCTTTCTGGGCTGCAGCGGCTGCCTGGAATGTACAAGCAGAAACACATCTCCAGGCGCTAGCGTGGGCCAGTTGGGAAGCTGCGTTTGCAGTGCTGTGGATGGGACCAGAACTTAAGGGTCAGGATTCGTGGTCTGACTCTGCCCCCTACTCCTCAGTCTGCTTTGCTCAATGCACCCGCGTCGAGAGGCTGGCTGTTTTAATGGGATGTACGCATGCGCGCGCGTGTGTGTGTGTGTGTGTGTGTGTGTGTGTGTGTGTGTGTGTGTTTAAACAAAACTGAGACCACAACTGTATTTACAGTTTTGTAAGCTTTTACATTCCTCCTACCATCACAGGTAGGCACCTTTCCAGTCTCATTCAATATTCTTCATACCTGACGCTAAGCATTCCTTTGTAAGGATGGACTACAAATTATCTAAGCCATTTGCTGTTGATGGACATCCAAGTCATTTTGAAAAAGTGATTTTCACCAACTTACTCAACAATTGGAAGAATCTGTGTCCCCATAAGTCTTTGTTTCTCTGAATGTTTCTTTAGAACAAATTCCTAGGAGTGAAATTATTAAGTCTCAGTGTATGAACATTTTATGACTTCGGATATAAAATTTCTAAATTTCTCACCAGAAAAAGGGAAGAGAAAACATTTATTGAGCGCCTACTATGTGTCAGGCACTTGGGATTTATACAGTCCCCATCTTCAGGGCATTCCCAGGTGTGTGCGGAGACACAGGTTGATAAAATAATCACCATACTGAAGATCATGCTATGTAAGTGCTAACATGCCACAGAGAGAGCTGGGAATTGGCCTCGCGGTGGTGGTGGTCATCAAGGAAGGCTTCCGTGAGGAGGTGGCATTTGAGCTGAGCCCTGAGAGATGAGCAGGGAAGCACTTAGGATAGGAGGTAGGGCCGGGTTACATGGGAGGCCTGATAGGCCTGATAAGGCCTGCAGGCCTGATAAGATGTTTGGACTTTGTCCTAAGAACCTGGGTACAGAATTTCATCAGTGGGGGGATGTGGCAGGAAAGGGGAGATTTTCCAAGCTGGGTGGCCCCTGAGACTCTGTAGTGATGTCCTTACACCCCTGCCAGGTCTCGACCAGGGATTCTGACCTTTCCTCTTTCGGACTCCAGGGCTCAAGATGACAGGCGGGGAGTGTGTGGAGGGGATGGCCTCGGGCCTGTACCAGGAGCTCTTTGCGGCCGTGGTGTCACTCATCAACAGGTAACAAGGCCTTTTCCTAGCCACAAAGTGGGCCTCTTGCGGGAGCACGAATAAGTTCAAGCACCGGGCAGTTTGGCAGAGTACTATTTTTTGAGCTGACGAGAGGATTTTTAAGGCGGCAGTGCTGGCTTTAAATTCCACCTTGACCGTTCACTGGCTGTGTGACTTCGGCAAATCTGTTCACCTCTCTGACCTCCCTTCCCACATCTGTAAATAGCTTTATCCCCCGGGGACTGTTTTGAGGATTAAAAGAAATAATGAATTTAAATAAGTCTGCCCAATAATGATTGCAAAAATACCAATAATAAAAGCTAACGACTTATGGGCCCTACTAAGAGCCAGGGACTGCACCAATTGTCGAAAGTTCCTTGTATCATTTAATGCTCACGTGTATCATTTAATGCTCACTGTGCCCATTGTACAGATGGAGAGAGCAAAGCATGGAGGAGCGGGGCGGCTTGGATGCAAACACAGTTCCGCATTCTCACCTCGTACCTTCGAGTGTCTCCGAAGGGGACAGCACATTGCTCTCATCCATGTATTTTTCTAAATTTTCTTGCTGGAAATGGGGGAGCAACACGGTAGAAGTTCGGAGTGGGCCAGGCCGTGCCTCTGAAGTTCATTTGCGGGGCTGCAGGCACCGGGGCCCCTGCTTTCCAGCATTATGAGCAACGCGCCAAGCCCATCTTCGGAAGCCCTCGGTCCCCAACCTTTTTGGCACCAGGGACCGTTTTCAAAGAAGACAATTTTTTCCAAGGACCGGGGAGTGGGGGATGGGGGTGTGGTTTGGGGATGATTCAAGCGCATTACATTTATTGTGCACTTTATTTCTATTATTATTGCATTGTGATATGTAATGAAATAATTACACAACCCACCATAGGTTGGGGACCCCTGCTCTACACAGTTTCGGCAGGGCTAATCCGGAGCATAGACAAAGGCTTCCCTCCCCACTCGGTGAAAGCAGCAAGCATAATTAGGCTTCTGAAATCCTGTTAAAGGGAAGAGGCCAGTGCGTAGCAACAGAGCAGTCGGGTTTCTCCAAGTTGGGGCGGACACAGAATCGACTCTCTGTATCGCTGCTAAAGTAATTACCATCTGAGACCTCAGGCGCGTTATCTCGAAACCAAGGGGCTCCTGCGTGCTTAGGGAAGGGAGTGCTGGGAGCAGGAAGGGAACTGCTGGCCGAGGAGCCTGCCTGAGCCACTGAATGGGCAGCTGCTTCATAGTTTGGGCTCTTGGAACCCACATCTGTAAAATGGGTGTGTTCGTGTTAGCAATACCCACCACAGTCTTTATGAACACCCAGTAGGAATCTGGCTTTCTGTAGAATTAACTGACTTAATCTTCGTGCATGTCCATGTGGTAGCTGCTCTTACTGACCCTATTTTATAGGGAGACAACCTCGGCAAGTAACAGGGAACAGCCAAGGTTCAAACCAAGGGCCTTCCAAAGCCGATAACTGATCGTGCTAATGGTAATAATAGCTGATGACATTTTCCGAACACTGACCACGTGGCAAACTTCACAGTCTTGGCAGTGGATGCTTTATCATGTCCAACCCTCAGAATGGTCCTCTGAGCTCATCACCATCATTAACCCTTTCATGACTAAGATGGCGGAGGCTCAGAGAGGTTGGGCAGCTCTCCCAAGACACACGGCCCCTACATTGCAGACTGAGGGTTGAAGTCCACATGTGACTGGCTCCAAAGTCTCTTAACTCCTGATTTTTTTTTTTTTTCTGCTCAGACCTGGAATCATCATTTCTCCAAGAAGCCCTGGTTTCTCTTAGAGATAAATGGTATTTCAAGGGCATAATCTGGTCATGCACTTAGAATACTCATTTATTATTTCAAAGTTTTCAGTGGACAGGGCAAGAAAATTATGTACACAAATGCATAGACAGATAGGTAAAGGGAAGGAGAGAATTTTTTTTAGTGCCTTTATACTGATAATTGTAATTCAATTAACTCCTGATTTTTAATGTGAATACTGCCTGCTCTGTCCACCCCGACAGGTTCATCTGCAAGACCCAAGGCAGCGATAACTTGAAAGAACTTTGTAGACTGATGCACTAAACACAATTGTTTTTCTATTTTAATGTGTCACTGGGGAAAGAAAAGGAGGCTCTAGTCTTTGTAGCCAACTTCCTGGGTGATATTAAGCTTGTCATTTCTCCCCTTTGGTCCTGTGGAAAGCACTTTCTATACTTTGATCCCTCCCATCCTTATTGGAAACCTTGGAATCAGCCTACTCACCCTCAACATCATTTTAACACTGGAGAAAACCCATGCTCAGAGAGGTTAAGCAACTTGCTCAAGGTCACACAGCCTGTAAGTGGCAAGTTTGATTTTGAAACCAGATCTGCTGGATCTCCAAACCCATCCAGCATGATGCCTCAGTTTCTCCATCTCTGTGATGGGGGAGCGGGAGGCTTGGACCAGCCAGCTCTCAGATTCCATGCCATCTTGCGCCTCTCTTTTCTCTCCCTAGATCTTTCTCCTCCCACCACCTCTCCATGGCTTCCATCATGGTGGTCGACTCTCCGGGCTTCCAGAACCCCCGGCACCAGGGCAAGGACCGGGCGGCCACCTTCGAGGAGCTGTGCCACAATTACGTCCACGAACGCTTGCAGCTGCTGTTCTACCAGCGGACCTTTGTCTCCACGCTGGAGCGATACCGGGCGGTACGGCTGGGCTGGAGCGGGCTTGTCACCAGGGCTTGGAGGAGCTGCAAGGTCAGATAGCAAGGGGTGGGATTCCCGCCCCAGGAGCCTCCAGCTTCACCTGTCTGCTTCATGGGAGTGAAAACCCCTTACTCAGGGCCTGGTCCCCCAGGGAGGGAGCCATCTGCTGCTCCCTCCGCAGCCCAGCCTCCACCGCGGCCTCCTGACCCCGCAGTCCAGACGCACCAGGGAACGTGGGCTCCCCGAGGCCTTGCTCCCATAGTGGTCCCTTCTTTAAGATGACCTGTTCCTCCACTCCCCTTTCCCCAAGCTGAAGCCTCCTCCAAGAGTCAGTCTGCATCTCCCCTGACCCGGAGAGCCCCTCATGCCCCGTGGGTGGGTGAGAACAGTGGGCTGTACACCCCTTTGCGGCACCAAGTCGAAAAGGTACGAACCCTATAAACCAGCGATTCCTCTTCTAGGAGGCACCCGAGAGACACTGTGTATATGAACCGGGAAACATGGACCAGCACATTCTTGCCAGCCCTTCTTTTCTCATAAACAACAATATTTAAAATTTAAATATTTAAATATTTAACATTTACAAAGAAAAATGCATAAATCAGAAGTATACAACTCGACGTATTTATCCAAATGAGCATATGTGCGTGTCCATCACCCAGGGGAAAATGAGAACATTGCCAGTACCCCATATGCCCCCCCATATCTGCTCCTGCCTTCTTCCCTGAGGGTGACCACTTTGATGCCAGCAAGTACTAATGGCCAACTATTAGAAATGTTCATATTGTTCATCAATAGAATAATAGGTATTGAAATTATGGTCATTTCGCTGGCAGCAATAAAAATGAAAACACCAGCATGAATTAATCTGAAACAAATGACATTGATGAGACCTGTGGTCTGATCCTAACTCTGTCACTTATGGGCTGTGTGGCCTTAGGAAAGCCACTCACCCTCTCTGACCCTCAATTTCTTTACTTGGAAAATAGAGATAATAATACTCTTGTATCTGTTACCATTTGCTACAATAATGTTGCATAGTAAACTACCTCCAAATATAGTGGGTTATTTAAAAAAAATAAATAACGAATCTTTGGTTGTTGCTCCTAAGTCTCTGGGTGGCCTGGGGAGCTCTTCTGGTCTTGGCTGGGACGGCTCTTGAGCCTGTGGCGAGAAGTAAGTCAAGCAGGTGGCGCTGATGATCTTGGGCTCTGGCACGTGTCTGGGGGTCAGCTGGCTGCGGTGCTGAGCAGGTTCCAAGAGGACAAGCAGAAGTGCACAGGGCACCTTGAGGCTGAGGCTTGGAAGTGGCACAGAATCATTTCTACTGTGTTTGATCGGTCACAGCAAGTTTGAGTCTGAGCACTGATTCAAGGAGCAGGAAAACAGGCTCAGTTTTCCATAACGAAAGCTGCAGGGTCGGTCTGCAAAGAGTGTGGATGTGGGAAGGGCAGAAAACTGAGGTTGTTTTTATGATCATTTTTACCACACTCCCTAAAGGGGCTGTTCCGGACATTTAATGAAGTAGGATAGAAAGTGTCTAGTCTGTATTAAACATTCAATATGTGCTAGCAGCTATTATATTTTCCCCCTTGATATTTCACTTATTTCTGATTATAAAAGTAATTCGTGTTATTTATTAAAACACGGGAAGTGCATATAAATAGAAAGAAGCCAAAAACACAATCTCCTTTAGCCACACCACCCAGAGACAACTGTTGTTACTGTTCGCTGAATTTTACCAGTCATTTTCCAATATATTATATTTTCTTCAGATTTCTGATCTTCCTGTATACGCAGTTTTGTTGTCTGCTATTTTTCTCATGGTATGACATTATTCGTATCGCTTCCTTCCATGTGCGACATCTTAGCAAACACGCCTTGCAGTGATTATATTGATTCGATCTTAACTCTCCTGTGGACATTTGGGTTGTTTCCAAGTTCAAGGCGTTGTAAACAACAGTGTGATGAACATCTTTGTGCACAGCGTTGTCCGGACATTTCCGGTTACTTTTACGTGACAACGATTATCCATAGTTTACGCTTGTTCCCTCCAGCACCAAGTACCCGTCCCGGTACTTGTTAGGTCCTCAGGAAATGTTTAAAAATTTTGTACTGAATTATCAGTATCTGACAAAGCTCTCACCACGATTGCTAACAACCCTGCATGATGAACAATATCGGGACATTATTGGAATGTCAGTCTGCAACCTTTCTTCTCCTACTAAGGCTAAGAAGTGATGATAACGAAGCAAATAGCCAACCCCATTGGAAACTGGACAAAGGTCTTAAGTGGACATTTCTCCAAAGAAGATTGACAAATGCACAGGAAAAGATGCTCAACATCACAAAGGATAAGGGAAATGCAAATCAAAACCACACAGAGACACCACCTCACACCCATTGGGATGTCTACTACGAAAACAAACACACAAACAAACACCTGGAAAATAACAAGTGTTGGGGAGGATGCGGAGGAACCGGAACCTTTGTGCGGTATTGGTGGGAATGCAATTGTGGAAAACAGGATGACGTGCCTCAAAATGTTAAAGATAGAATTGCCACGTGATCCAGCAATTCCGTTTCTGAGTATGTACGCACAAGCACTAAAATGAGGAACTGAAAGAGGTATTTTTGCACCTACGTACACAGCAGCGTTATTGATGATAGCCAACATGCGGAAGCCACCTAAGTGTGGGTTGCAATTGACAGAGGAATGAACAAGCAGAGAGAGATATATACACATAAGGAAGTAGTATTCAGCCTTAAAAGGAAGGAAATGCTGACAAAATGGTACAACACGGATGAGCCTTGAAGGACACTATGCTAAGTGAAATGTCAGACACAAAAGGGCAAATAATGCCTGATTTCACTTATGTAATGTACTTAGAATAGTCAGAATCACAGGGACAGAAAGCAGACTGGTGGCGGCCAGGGGTCGGGATGGGGAGCGGGGAAACAGGAGCTGATGCTTCATGGGTACAGAGGCTCAGTTTTGGAAGATGAATACAGTTCTGGAGACGGAGGGTGGTGATGGTTGCTCAACAATGGGAATGTCGTTAACATCACTGCACCGTCCACTTCACAACCATGGTAAATGTCACGCTGTGTCTGTTTTACCATAATTTAAAAAATGATTTGAAAAGGTCAAGGGGTGATGGAAGTTTTCACTGCTTTATTTTCCCCCGGAAGTTTTCTTTTCCGTTCAGTTCACTGAAGGAGCTAACGTTTAAATGCGGTGGTTTTCCAGGAAGGTGTTCCTGTGCAGTTTGACCTCCCGGAGCCCTCCCCCGGGGCCACTGTGGCTGTCGTGGACCAGAATGCCTCCCAGGTAACGTGGGGCCCAGCCAGCCCAGGGGGCTCTCAGATGCCTCGTGGCCTTCTTACTGAAATGCCCCTGGATTGGAGTCTTTAAACCACTGGTTCTCAGTGCTGTCTGCACCTGGAATCTTCCTGAGATTGCTAGAAGCACTGATGCCTGGGACCCTCCCCCAGACCTCTGTGTAGGTTGATCGGGGTTGTGGCCCAGACACTGGAGATTTCAATGTCCCTGGGTTGAGAGGCGCTGCTCCGCACCGACTCTGTGTCAGAGGACAGCTCATGCCTGGGAGCCTGTGGTCTGAGCTGAAGGGAGCTCGGGGGCCCTGGCCAGGGCCCTCCAGCCACCGTGGTCTGGAAAGATCAGGGGTCTGGACGAAGACGCTGTGGCCAGGCAGGGACTGGGACCCTCGGGGAATGAAGAATGGGGACGATGTCGGGTTCAGGCCCCTGAGTCCCCTTGGGGACAGACAGGCTTTGGTTTGGGGGATACCTGAGTGTTTACCCCTCTCTCCCTCTCCCCAGAACCTACTTTGCTGGCCCAGATCTGCACCTCTGCTCAAGCCAGAACTGGCCTTGACTATTCCACTTGACCTTTTGTTTTCCCTCTTCACGTTTTGGTGTGAAAGTGCTTGGGCTGTGGACCCTGCCAGGCTTGGGTCCAATCTTGGTGACCTTGGGCACACCACTCCACCTCTCTGAGCCTCAGTTTTCTTGTCTGCAAAATGGGCACGATACTTTCCCTGGGGCTGTTGTGAACGTCAGTGAGTTGTTACACATCACGTATCTGGCACGGTACTTGGCACATAGGAAGTGCCCTGCAGGTGGCATTTCTCCAGACACTGTGGGCTGCCCTTTTCTTCGTTCCTTGTCTCCTGTTGACTGGGGCTGGTTTGCAAGCTTTCTCTTAGTCCACGGTGGCCTGCACCTATCATTGCAAAGCTCTCTTGTGCGTGAGCCCTGCCAGCTGTTTGCCGTATGTGTGTTTCTAGTTGGCATCTCTCTGGTTTGTTCTCCCCGACCCTCACCCCACCCAGGCTTCCTCATCGGTGCCGCTCCTTGGAAGGGGAAGCCGTGAAGGAAGTTGCAGCCGTGTTGCTTGGGAAGGGCGGGGTAGTGCCAGGGCTGTCCTGTGGTTGGGAATGGCTGGCTACCTTGGAGGATGAGCTGGCTATCGGTTTCAACCCCAGTAATTAGAAGGCCAAGGTGAAGGGCCAGGATACCTCGGATCCAGTTCCAGTTCTGCCCCTGTGACTCTCCACGAGACCCTGGGTGTGACCCTGAGCCTTTGAGGGGTGCGGATTTCCCAATTAGGGTGACCGAATGTCCAGGTTTGTACAGGACTTTCTTGGCTTTAGCACTGGAAATTTCATGTCCCGGGCACACCGGGACAGTTAGTTGGTCACTTATTACATTTCCTCTGTAACCATTGGGCACCGTTTTTGGTTGTGCCAACTCCTTGTGGGCCCTTGGATAAACGCTTTAAAGTCCCCGGGCCTCTCTCTTTCCGATTTGCAAAATTACAGGGTTGACTAGATGTTCTCTGAAGCTCGTGGCTGGATTTAAAATTCCGTGTCTGTGCTATTGGGTCAAGTTCACCTTCTTCTCTGAAATGTTCTTTGAATGCTTGTTGTGTTTTTCCCCTAAGATTTTGGTTTAAGAGAAAGACAAAGACTTCTAAGAGGAAGTGATGCAGATGGAATTAATCCTTTCCTGCTTGGCTGTGCACAAATAGACCAGCCTCCTGCATGTATCTAGAAATGTGCAACTTGCAAAGGGTTTCCCCTTGTGTAATCCTCGCCACAGCTTTCTCAGGAAGGTATTTCCAGCCTTCATTTACACAGGTGGAATCAAGGCTCAGAGAGGTACAGTAATTTGCCCAAGGTCACACAGGAGATGAGGACAGAGGCAGGATTTAGACTCCTTGCAATTGAGAGGTAGTTACAGTTTTGTGGCTTCAACACTGGGACCTGGATCCCCCTGTGCCCTGTCAATGGGAAGAGAAGCCCAGGACTGGCCTCTGAAGGCCATCAGGGCCCCTCAGCATATCCTGGGTCTTCCGCCAGGTCCGCTTACCAGCCGGAGGAGGTGTTGACGATGCACAGGGCCTTTTCTGGGTCTTGGACGAGGAGGTCCGGGTAGAGGGGTCCAGTGACAGCACGGTCCTCGAGCGTCTGTGTGCGGCCTTTGAGAAGAAAGGAGCTGGGGCCGAAGGTAAGGGAGCAAGGGAGTTGGGGTGGGGGCTGAGTCCAGCCTGGTTATTGGATCTGCCCTTGTCAGTTGTGGAAAAAGCCCCTGACAAGGCCTGCACAGAGGCTCTGAGTGCAGAAATGCACATGCATGTGCCTGTGTGTGCTTTGACTCATTTATGTGTTCATTCGGTCATGCATTCTACAAACACATTGAGCAGCTACTGTGCGCTGGGTGCTGTTCTATACAGTGGTGAGCCAGCCTGCCGTGGCCCATGTCCTCTGGACAAGTTCACAGGTAAGCACATGTGAGTACAGTGAGCCCGAGACCGCACCGTGACGGTGCAGCAGGCAGATCTAATTTCTCCAGTAGCCCGAGGGCGATGCATGCAGGTAAATCTAGCAGAGAGCTAGTTGCACGGTGCGGGACAAGGTTGGCAATATCGTCTGGACTCAGACCACAGAGATGCAAAATCTCCATCTCCATCTTGCTGGAGATGCAAAAACTTTGGCCTTAACCCTAGAACAACAAGAAGCCACGAGCGACACCAGGCAGTGGGAGGCAGGGTCTGATTCATGTTCTGGAAAGTTCATCCAGCCTGCAGTGTGAAGACGTGGTAGGAAGACAGCTGTCCAGGTGAGAGAGGAGCTGGCCTGCCCCCAGGGAGGTGGGCAGCCTCTGGAGGTATTTAGCAGGCCAAGTCCACAGCACTTGGTGGTGGTCACACTGGTAGGATGAGAAGTGAGGTGGGAGACGGAGACAGCGAGCTGGAACAAGGGGTCACAGGATTTGGCATCCATCAGCCCCAAGTTCAAGTCCGGCTCTTCCTACTGTCCCCTGTGCGATGTTGAACACACCTCTCATCGTCTTAGTTGATGTGCTTGTAGCATGGGAAGGGAGTCACGCTGGCCCCTCTTCCTCTAGAATTTCTGCTACACTAATTTGGTGAGATAACGAGTGTTCGGAGCTTTGTCATCGACTGCAAAGTGTTGCAAGTTTATTGATGAGGACAAGGATGTTGACAGTATGAAGAATGCGATTGTGTCATTTCAGGGGTTGAAGGCGCTGCATGTATTCCACGCGGGGCAGCCTACTCAGAGCTTTATGTCTGTCTTCTGGTAGGATTCTGTCATGCATTTGGAGATAAATATTCTTACCCCTAAGAAAAGGAGGAAACTGAGCTCCAGAGAGGTAGAGATGCTTGTCCAAGGTCACCCAGAGGAGCAGTGTCAGAAGGCAGGTTCCAAACAAGGTTTGTCTGGATTTAAAACCCCACCGTGCATTTAAGTCGGCAAATATACTTTGAGATCTTATCGGTCCCAACTGGCTTTGGCAGCCAGGATGTGGGCTCTTGCTTTCATTAGTTTATTCAGGAAGGGAGCGCCAAATATGTGGCAGCCACTGTCCTGGCTCAGGAGATACAACAGTGAACAAAGCAAATATCTTTGACCCCCTGAGACTGCCATTCTAGCAGAGGAGATAGGCCACAAGGCACATGGTTCTGTAAGAAGGAGATTGAGGACCATGATTCTGGTGGAGGTCACTAAGGGAATGAGGGTCGGCAGAGACTCGGCTCTGGGACATTCCAATGTCAAGGGGTCAGGGACAAGGGCTGCAACCAGCACAGCTTGAGGAGGTGTGGCCAGGGAGGTAGGAGGGGAGCTGGGAGAGTGTGGCACGTGGAAGCCACAGGGGAGAGGAATCGACTGTACCAGATGCGGGTGAGAGGTCTAGTGGGGTGTGGGTTGAGAAGCGCCTGTTGATTTGGCCACGTGGAGGTCCAAGTGCGTCTTGATAGAGTATTCGGGGTCAATGTCCAACTGGAGTGGTTTGTAAGAAATCGGGAGAAAAGCTGCTGTCCGCTCAGCTAGTGCCGAGTGGAACCTTCCATCCTATGGTGACCAGCCGAGGCCTCTGTTCGGGACGTTCACGGTGGATTCATGTGTTCACTTTGGGACGAGATTTTCTAAGCA